GGCGGGGCCGACCCTGCCGCCGCGCCGCCGACCCCCGCGGCGGCAACGGGCACCGCCGTCGCGGCCAGCTCAAGGGCATCATCACCGGCGGTGGCGGCGGCGGTTGCAGCGGCGGCGGCGGGTGCAGCGGCGGCGGCGGCGGCTTGAGAAACAGCGGCGGCGTGGGCTACGTCATCTGGCGCAAGCTTGCTCGGCGAGCGTCTACGACGACGAGCGGCAGCCTCGGTCTCCCCCGGGGGGAGGGCCGTGGGAGGGTCCTCCGCCGCCGCGTGCGCGTCACCGTCGGCCACTACGGAGGCGTCGTGGGTGCCGCTCACCGGAACAACGGGAGCGCCGTCGTCGTCGTCGTCGACACCAGCGTCATCGGAAAATCCCTCGGGGTCATCGCCCAGGACAGCGTCACCCTCGCTGCCGACATCAGCAACGACGCTATCGCCGGTGACCGCTGGCATATTCCCGGCTTTGGCGTCCTCACCGCTCCCAGGGACGTGTCCGGCACCAGGACCTTCCTCCACGTGAGAACTTTCCTCTGGGAGTTCCCGGTCTTGCCCTGGCGGATCGGTCATATCGCTAGCATCTCCTTCCTCCAGGGGAGCGGTCACGGCCTCAACGCCGGCACTCTCGCCCAAGTCATCCAGATCGTCTCCGATGGTGCCAGCCCCGTCCCTCCCACGTGAATCCGGCACACCGTCCTGAGCATCTCCATCCCTTGCATCACCGGCCTCACCAATCGAGACATCTTCATCGCCGTTCGTGATGCTCTCGGAGGCCAACAACGCACTCTCCGACAAACTTAGCACCGCCTGCTCGAGCGCTGCGGCGGTCAGACCATCACCCACGTCCACATCCTCTGGAAAATCCGAACCAACCAGAGCAGCGTCATCCCCCGCCGGTGCGACGTTTGTCACGGGGTCCTCGTCGACACCAGCCGGCCGGTGACGGCGCCATGGAAACCAAGACCGGCGGGGACGCGTCTCACCGTCATCAGCACCAGTATCACCGTCCGTTGGCGAAACATCCGAAGCCTCGTCGTGGCCGATGGACAAAGCCGAAGCCTCGCCGTCTTCAGCCACAACAGCGGTATCAGCATCGTCGGCCAAACCGGAATCAGCGGTGTCATCTCGCCCACCCACCAAAGTGCCAACCTCGGCATTCGATACAGCAGCAGCATCACCATCGCCGCCAGAGATCGCAGGATCGTCGGCCTTGGTCGCAACATCCGCCGAGACACTAGAGGCATCGTCGTCACCCCCGTTCAAACCAGCCTCCATACTCATGGCCCCGCCTGCCCCGCCCTCGGGGTCATCGCCAAGGACAACGTCACCCTCACTGCCGTCGTCAGCAAAAACATCCTCATCGGTGGTCGTTGCCACATCCCCGGCCTCGATGGCTTCGTCGATCTGAGTGTCGTGTCCTCCACCAGAAACTTCTATGCGAGAACTTTCCTCCGAGAGGTTGACGTCTTTCCCTCGTGATTCGGCCACATCGCTAGTGCCTCCGTCCTCCAGATTCATCTGTGTTACACCCCGGGGAACAAACAATAAAATGGTTCAAAATTTGAGAACTGAGACCTCGACCATAATCAGGAACCCCTGTGAATCTTGCTACTCAGCCGATGTCACGTCAAGTCAACAATGATACTCCTAAATTCCAAAATCGCCTCAAAACGCCATAAAAATAAGCAACATTGAAGTGGGCACTGCCCTGCTTTCCCTCTCGTTGTGATGAATAAGAGAAGCGGCAATTTTCCCCATGGAGTGTAACACAGGTGGACTAGCGGTGAGGGGTACCACAACGGTGCTCTCGCCTAAGCCATCTGGACCGTTCACGACGCGGCCACCACCGTCGCTCACATGTGGATCCGGGCCAATGTCGCCGGTGACAGCATCCCGATCATCTCCATCGCTGACGTCGCTGGCCTCACCGGTCGAGATATCTTCACCGCCGTCCGTGATGCTCTCGGAGCCCAACAACTCACTCTCCGGCAAACTCAGCACGACCTGCTCGTGCGCTGCGGCGATCAGATCATCACTCACGTCAGCTACATCATCTGGAAGATCCGGGACAGCCAGAGCAGTGTCATCCACCGCCGGTTCGAGGTTTGTCACGGGGTCCTCGTCCACGTCAGCCGGCCGGTGACGAAGCCACGGAAACCAAGACCGGCGGGGACGCGTCTCACCCTCATCAACACCAGCATCGCCCTCCGTTGGCGAAACATCCGATGCCTCATCGTCGCCGGTAGAGACAGCCGAAGACTCATCGCCGGTAGCCGAGACGCCAATAGGATCGCCGTTCGATTCGATTTCACCGATGGCATCGTGCCCATCAGGCAAATCACCAACCTCGGCAGTCGATACAGCCGAGTCGTCATAGCCGCCAGAGATCGCAGGATCGTCGGTCTTGGTCGCAACATCCGCAGAGACACCGGAGGCATCGTCGTCACCCCCGGTCAAACCAGCTCCAATACTCGCGACACCGGCTGCCCCGCCCTCGGGGTCATCGCCAAGGACAACATCACCCTCACTGCCAACATCGGCAAAACCGCTCTCATCGGCGGTCGTCGCCACATCCCCGGCTTTGGCGTGCTCACCGTTCCCAGCGCCGTGTCCGGCACCAGGACCTTCCTCTTCGTGACAACTTTCGTCTGGGAGTTCCCCGTCTGGCCGTGGCGGATTGATCGTATCCCTAGCACCTTCCTCCGAATTTGCTGTGAAGGTCTCCACGCTGGTGCTCTCGCCCATGTCATCCAGATCGCCTCCGACATCGTCGCCGCCGCCGTCACTCCCACGTGGATCCCGGCAAATATCACCGATGACAGCCTCGCGATCATCTCCATCTCTGACGTCGCCAGCCTCACCAGTTGAGACATCTTCACCGCCGTCCGTGATGCTCTCGGAGGCCAGCAACTCATTCTCCGACATACTCGACGGGGTCGATACCGCCTGCTCGAGCGATGCATCGTCATCGTCACCCACGTCGACCATATCTTCTGGAAGATCCGGACCAGCCAGAGTAGTGTCATCCACCGCCGGTTCGAGGTCTGTCACGGTGTCCTCGTCGACATCAACCGGCCGGTGACGGCGCCACGGAAGCCAAGACAGGCGGGGACGAGTCTCCCCCTCGTCATCACCAGCGTCGCCGTCCATTGACGAATCACCCAACGCCTCGTGGTAGGAGGTAGAGACAGCCGAAGGCTCACCGCCCTCAGCCCCAAGAGCACCATCGGCCGCACCGGAATCAGCAGCGGCATCTTGACCATCCACCAAAGCGCTAACCTTGGCGTCGATCGATACAGCCGATTCACCCTCGCCACCAGAGGTCGAAGAATCATCGTCGCCACCGGAAAGACCATCCCCCATGTTCGTGACCCCGCCTGCCCCGCCCTCGGGGTCATCGCCCAGGACAGCGTCACCTTCATCGCCGGCATGAGCACGATCGGCCTCATCGGTGGTAGTCGTGTCATCCCCGGCTTTCGCGTCCCTACCGCTCCGAGTATTGTCATCCCCAGCAGAACCTTCCTCCATCTGAAAAACTTCCTCGCAGAGGGCACCGTCTTGCCCTCGTGGATCGGCCATATCACTTGTACCCTCCCCTTCCTCCGGATTCACCTGTGTTGACCCGCGTGGAAAAAATTTTTAAAAATGCACAACAAACTAAGAACGAGTACCTCAATGATTTCCCGCAACCTCTCTCAATATTGCTACGTACTCGGCCCGTTCGGTTCACGCTGCTGAGTCACCACTAATATCCTCAGCTTCGAAAGAGACTCAAAACGCAACGAACAAAAAGGAATTTAAAGCGGGCACTGCTCTTCTGTCGTCCTCGTTGTCATGAATAAGAAAAGAGGCCTTTTTCCCCGTGGGGTGAAACATGGGTGGATTAGCTGTAAGGGTTCAACAACGGTGCTCTCGCCTAAGCCTTCTAGACCATTTACAAAGCCGCAACCACCATGGCTCACATGTGAACCTGGGCCATTGTCGCCGGTGACATCCTTCCGATCATCTCCATCGCTGACGTCACCGGCCTCACCAGCGGAGACGTCTTCACCGCCGTTCGTGATGCTCTCGGAGGCCAACAACACACTCTCCGACATACTCGGCGAGGTTGATACCGCCTGCTCGACCGATGCATCGTCGCCGTCACCCACGTCAGCCACATCCTCTGGAAGATTCGGATCAGCGAAAGCGGCCGCATTCCCCGCCGGGGCGAGGCTTGTCAAGGGGTCCTCGTCGACGTTAGCCGGCCGGTGACGGCGCCACGGAAGCCAAGAGCGGCGGGGACGCGTCTCACCCTCGTCATCACCAGCATCGCCGTTCGTTGATGAAGCACTCCACGTCTCATCGTCGCCGGCAGAGACCGCACCGTCGTTTGGACCGGAATCACCGGTGGCATGGCACCCACCAGGCAAACCATGGCACATGTCGGCAGTCGACACAGCCAAATCACCACCGCCGCCAGAGGTCGCAGGATCGTCGGTGTTCGTCTCAACAGCGGGCGACACGATAGAGGCATCGTCGCCACCCCCGACCAAACCAGCCCCCAAACTCGCGACGCCGCGTGCCCCGCCCTCGGGGTCATCGCCAAGGACAGCGTCACCCCCACTGCCGACGTCAGAAAAACCGTCCTCATCGGTGGTCGTTACCACATCCCCGTCTTGGGCGTCCTCACCGCCGCTAGCCTCATCTCGCCCGTCAGAATCTTCCTCCGTGTGAGAACTTTCCTCAGAAAGGGCGCCGTCTTGTCCTGGCGGATCGGCCATATCGCTAGTGCCTCCGTCCTCCAGATCCACCTGGAATACATGAAAAACAATAGTTCAAAAACTTGAGAACGGGTAGCTCGACGATTTTCGGGAATCCCTCTGAATTTTCCTATCGGCCCATTCCACGTCACGCTGTTGAGTCATCGCTGATACTCCTGAACCCCAAAACAACCGCACAAGAAAGCAACATCACCGCGTGCACTGCTCTGTTGTCCTTCTCATTGTCACGAAAACGAAAAACAACCAATTGTCGATGCGGTGCCAACACAGGTGGGTTGGCCAGGGAAGGGTTCAACGGTTGACCTCGCTCTGCAATCTAGACCATGTCCAACACCGCCACCACGGTCGCTCACATGCAAGGTTGGGGCAAGGTCGCCGGCCACAGCTTCTCGTTCATTTCCATCGCTGACTTCGCCGGCCTCACCAGCCGAGACATCTTCACCGCCGTCTGTGATGCTCTCGAAGGCCAACAACTCACTCTCCGGCAAACTCAGCACCGCCTGCTCGAGCGCAGCATCGTCGTCTTCACCCACATCGACCACATCATCTGGAAGATCCGAACCAGCAAGACCAGCGCCATGCCCCGCAGGTGCGAGGTTAGCCACGGGATCCTCGTCGACATCAGCCGGCCGGTTACGGCGCCATGGAAACCAAGACCGGCGGGGACGCGTCTCACCCGCATCAACATCAGCATTGCTGTCTTTTGACGACACACCCAAAGCCTCATCGTCGCCCGTAGCGACAGCCGAAGCGTCACCATCGGTAGCCAAGACGCACATACCACCGGCGTTCGAACCGGAATCACCTGTGGCATAGTACCCACCACGCAGGGCGCAAACCTCGGCAGTCGTTATAGCCGAATCGCTGTCACAACCAGAGGTCGCACAGTCGTTGGCGTTGGTCTCAACAGTCTGAGACACGGTAAAAGCATCGTCGCCGCCCCCGGCCAAACCAGCACTAATGCTCGTGACGCCGCTTGCCCCGCCCTCGGGGTCATCGCCAACGACAGCATCGCCCTCACTGCCATCAAAAAACTCTTCATCGATGGTCGTCGCCACATCCCCGGCCCCGACGGCTTCATCGCTCTGAGTCCTGTCTCCCCCATCAGATCCTTCCTCAATGTTAACACTTTCGTCGGCGAGGGCGTCGTCTTGCCCTGGCAGATCGGCCGTATCGCTAGTGCCTCCTTCCTCCAGATTCACCTGTGTTGCACCCAGGGGGGGGGGGGGGG